TCTCTCTCTCTCTCTCTCTCTCTTTAGATGGTGTCTCACTCTGTCACCCAGGCTGAAGTGCAGTGGCAGGATCTCGGCTCACTGCAAACTCCGCCTCCTGGTTTCGAGTGATTCTCCTGCCTCAGCCTCCTGAGTAGCTGGGATTACAGGCACCCGCCACCACCCCTCCTGGCTAATTTTTGCATTTTTAGTAGAGATGGAGTTTTGCCATGTCGGCCAGCCTGGTCTCAAACTCCTGACCTCAAGTGATCCACCCACCTCAGCCTCCCAAAGTGCTGGGATTACAGGCGTGAGCCACCACGCCCAGCTCTCAGCAAGGCTTTCTCTGACTACACTATTTAAAAGGTGATCCCTGAGCCACCTTGGCCTCTCTTGCTCTCCTTCCCTGCTTCACTTTCTCCATAGCACTTCTCTCCTACTAACCTACAATTTACTTGCTTAGTTTCTGTCTGTAGAATGTGAGCTCCATGAAGGTCAGGATTTTTGCCTGTTTTGTCCATCGATGCATCCCCAGCACCTGGAACTGAGCTGGGCACAGGCTAGGCACTCTAGAAATACTAGCTGAGTAATTCAGCTGAGTAAATGAGTGATCTACACAAAGTGGGGAATGAGAGTATACAGTGATAGTTCCTTTGACTAAAACTGGGGATGAATTACAGTGATAAAGAGGAACTCAGACCTTCAAAGGTAAGGTTTGTGGGCCACTTGCCAAGGCTGCAGAATGTGGTGTCGTTTCACAAGGAGGAGGCCCTATTATGGCTTCAGATATTAGAATGATAAAGAGAACTTTCCTTTCCCCTCAACTGCAGCCTTCTAAACTCTTCCTTCCTTCCTACGTAGATGAAGTTTCAAGGACCTCATGGCCTGAATGTGGATAGGCAGAATGTTGGGAATCAGGCAAAAGTAAAATAATACTGAAAGTGAAGGCCATGCTAATATTAGGAAGTCAGGGTGATCCCGAATTTACAAAACATTTTTCTTTGGGAAACTTCATACCTCACATTATTCTGTGTTTTTCCTTGGGAAATTTCACAGCTCACATGATTCTGTGACATGTGGTACATGAGGTGCCCAACTGCTGTTTTTGTCCTCCACTAATGAGGAAGAGTGTGTGTACTCCCGGGGTTTTGCAAGTTTCAAAGTCTGACTTGACTTTCCTTCCTTTTTCTGGAACTGATCCATAAGCATGGAAAGTAAAGCTGCCCGCACCTATTCATTCAAGGTCCTGAGTGTCCTGCCCAGCTGCAGGAGTTGGAGAGACCCAGGAGGAGGGGCCACTGCTGATCCCAGACTGCAGAGTGGGGGAAGAGTGTCCCAGGGCATGGTGACCCCCACTCACTCACTCACAGGAGACCCACACGAGAGAGAAAAGGGCACTTACAGCTTAGGTTCCCGCCAGCACCAACCCCTCTGCCATCAAACATCACCGTGTTTCTCTTTCTGCCTTGACTTTTGGCACACATGGAGTTAAGTTTAATGCTCAATCACATATTTGTCTGGGCTCTTTGTATGTTTATTTTTCTCTTAATAGTTCTCTCTCTGCCCCTCCTCTCCCCGCCTCTCCTCCTCCTCCTCCTCCTCCTTCTTCTTTTTTTTTTTTTTTCCAGGGATAGCGTCTCGCTCTGCCACCCAGGCCGGAGTGCAGAGTGGCATGATCGTGGCTCACTGCAGGCTTAAACTCCTGGGCTCAAGTGATCATCCCACCTCAGCCTCTCGAATGTCTGGGATTACAGGCACTTGCCACTGCATCTGGCTAATTTTTATATTGTTTATAGATACGGGGTCTCACTATGTTGCCCAGGCTGGCCACGAACTCCTGGGCTCAACCAACCCTCCCACCTCAGGCTTCTGAGCAGCTGAGACTATAGGAATGTGCCACAGTGCCAGGCTAGTTTCTTAATTTTCTATTTTGACAGGTACACATTTTGTATTCAATCCTACCTCAGACACATCTGTGGTGTGAAAAAGATGTCATTTAATCAATATATAAATTCTAAGCAAATAGGTCTGGTCCCCAAATTAGGTTAGTTGCAGCTGCTGAGTTGTTGACCCAAGAGCAGCTCATCTAGATTTTTTCAGTATTTTCAAGTTCCTCTTCTCAGTTCATCCTTCTTCCAAACCGTGCCCTCCCCTCCCACCCTCTTCCCACAGCCTCCCCTCCCCACAGCCTCCTCCCACCATTCCAAATCTGGGCTGTTCTCTCAATTTCCTTCTCTCTGGCCTCAAACCTACCCTAGCCCCCAGCCTCAGTTTGGAGTTAAACTTGTCCCCCTCACATTCTCTCCCACGCGACTTGATGTCACCTCTGTGTCGTCACCACAGGACTTTCCTCCTCTGGGTTCTCCTTTGCAGAGTGGCGTCAGCTCCCCCATGAGCCCCAGCACCAATCACTTCCGGCTGCTTGCAAATCCCTTTGCTTTCCTCCATGTTGACACCCGGGGCAGCCCTATGCTCGCTGCTGCTGAGGCCCCACCTCTGCCCCTGGCCTTTTCCCAACTGACATCACCCTGTAGCTTCCATTTTCCTGGAATTCTCTTTTGAGGCCTCAGTCTTTAGACAAAGCACACAGTGTCCCTCAAAAATGACAATAAAAACCCAAACAATGTGACTCTCACGGCAGCTTCCTGGTCCCCATATCAAATCAGCGGGTGGGTTTCTGTAAACACTGGTGAGAGGCCACCTCAGAGGATCAGGACCCTCAGGTCTGGACTCGTGGTCACCATGAACATTCCTCTCTGCTGACGGTAGCTGGTACCTGTCACCTACTCAGAGTGTCACATGCCGCAAGCCAGAGGGTCTTGGCAGGTCTCAGCACCTTGACATCACTTCCTTGCTATCACTCAGAGCAGCAGTGACACAGTTCCCTTATCTCAGGCGGCCAGAAGACGACTGTCAAAGGTCACAGGGAAATCAAAGGCGGGGTACAGGGCCAGAGGGAGGAGGGAACTACTTCCCGGTTGCTCTCAGACGTTTCGGAGATCCTCTGGAGGCCTGGGGAAGCTTTAGAGTTCTTTATTTCAGTAGGTCCCTGAGCTCTGTGAGTGGCGAGGGTAGAGCCACCGGGGGAATCCACAGTGGTTTCTCGTGCCCCTCAGGGTCAGGAGCAGTCTGATCAAAAGGAGGCCATCCACTGTCTGGGGCCATTCCCACAGCTCCCGGATGCTGGGTCTGGAGGCTGCGCCCTTCCCCGCCAGGAGCTCGGCCCAGTGGTAAGTCATCTGCATGTCATCTATGTATTTAACCCCTCATGGCCATGTTGATGCTGGGCATGGTTTCACTTTTGCAAACATTTGTTTATACCCTTCAAGAGAAAAACATCTCAGCTGTTACAGGAAGCTGCTTTGGGGGGTGAGCAAACTTCTTAAACATGCAGAAATTATGATCTACACCCGTTTCTTAAAAGCAAGCCATGGTACTTGGTTCTCTTTAATGATATATTTTCTTTCATATTGTGTTCTTGTAGGCAAGTCCTGTTTCTGCTGAAAGAAGGTAAGTTCTACAAAGACGGTGTCGTGCCAGCTTTATTTCCCGTGGCACCTGGAACACTGCTAAGCACTTTCATGCTTGACAAGTAGATTGAGGATGGTGCCCAAGTAGATGGGAAGTGGGCACACGTGAAAGAAATGTTTATTTCAGTCTTCTGAAATAGGAAACTCCTCTGGCTAAAATGTAGCTTCAGAAAGGGAAAGTGGGGCTGTTTGAATCGGGGTCCAGTTTGTTGTTTCCTCCAGGATAAGACAGCTGTTGGAGGGGAAAATCATCTCCCGTTTCTCCGCAGGGCAGCCTGAATATGGCCAATTACACGCTGGCACCAGAGGATGAATATGATGTCCTCATAGAAGGTGAACTGGAGAGCGACGAGGCAGAGCAATGTGACAAGTATGATACCTGGGCGCCCTCAGCCCAGCTGGTGCCGTCGCTCTGCTCTGCTGTGTTCGTGGTCGGTGTCCTGGACAATCTCCTGGTTGTGCTTATCCTGGTAAAATATAAAGGACTCAAACGCGTGGAAAATATCTATCTTCTAAACTTGGCAGTTTCTAACTTGTGTTTCTTGCTTACCCTGCCCTTCTGGGCTCACGCTGGTGGCGATCCCATGTGTAAAATTCTCATTGGACTGTACTTTGTGGGCCTGTACAGTGAGACATTTTTCAATTGCCTTCTGACCGTGCAAAGGTACCTAGTGTTTTTACACAAGGGAAACTTTTTCTCAGTCAGGAGGAGGGTGCCCTGTGGCATCGTCACAAGTGCCGTGGCGTGGGTAACAGCCATTCTGGCCACTGTGCCCGAATTTGCGGTTTATAAACCTCAGATGGAAGACCCGAAATACAAGTGTGCATTTAGCAGAACTCCGTTCCTGCCAGCTAATGAGACATTCTGGAAGCATTTTCTGACTCTAAAAATGAATGTTTCGGTTCTTGTCTTTCCCCTATTTATTTTTACATTTCTCTATGTGCAAATGAGAAAAACACTAAGGTTCGGGGAGCAGAGGTATAGCCTTTTCAAGCTTGTTTTTGCCATAATGGTAGTCTTCCTTCTGATGTGGGCGCCCTACAATATCGCACTTTTCCTGTCCACTTTCAAAGAACATTTCTCCCTGAGTGACTGCAAGAGCAACTACAACCTGGACAAAAGCGTTCTCATCACTAAACTCATCGCCACCACCCACTGCTGCGTCAACCCTCTCCTGTATGTCTTTCTTGATGGGACATTTAGGAAATACCTCTGCCGTTTTTTCCATCGGCGTAGTAACACCCCACGTCAACCCAGGCGGCGGTTTGCACAAGGCACATCGAGGGAAGAACCTGACCGTTCCACCGAAGTGTAAACTAGCATCCACCAAAGGCAAGACGACTAAACATGGATTTTCATCTTTTTGCATTATTTCACTTAAATTTTTTACACACTTGTTTACAAAATCGGATACAGGAAGAAAAGGGAAAGGTGCGCTAACATTTGCTAAGCATTGAATTTGTCTCAGGCACCGTGCAAGGCCCTTTACAAACGTGAGCTCCTTCGCCTCCAACCACTTGTCCGTAGTGTGGATGGGACTAGTCTCATTTCTCTGAGAAGAAAACTGAGGCTCGGAAGTTTGTCTAAGATCACACAAGTAGGAAGTGGCAGAACTGATTCTCCAGCCCTGGTAGCGTTTGCTCAGAGCCTACGCTTAGTCCAGAACGTTGAACTCCAAACCCTGGGGACAAACTGCATGAAATAAATGTATTTTAAAACATCTATTTAATGTATTTTAAAATAATTCATAAGTTGCTTTTAAAACCAATTTAACTACATTCCGAATTATAAGCAGCCCATTTATATGGGAGTAATTTTTCAGGTGCATTTTCTCGCAGTTGATGAGAAGAACCAGTTAGCTAGAAGCTGTGGAAAAAAAGAGGTAAGGTAACTTGTTCTGAGGAAGTTCTCTAAATTCTCTTGGTCACTCGCCACACCCCTAGGTCCCCAGCTTCCCCTAACCCAAGGTTTCTGATGTTTTCTCGTACTTTATTAAAACTATGGAATCTTAGGAGATTTAACAAAAGCAAATGAGAAACTCTGTTTAGAATGTCTAACAAAATGAATGTTTTGTCCTTTTAAGTATAACACATACCTCAGGCCTCACCAGCACATAACTACAAAATGTTGTCCCACTTCCTTTCTATGGCTGAGTCAGTAGAACACAGGCTCCCACCTGCCACATCAGCAGAAGGTCACCTCAACATGTGAGCTACCTCCCCAGCGACCCCCTAGATCTGTAAGGATGATGTATCCTTGATCCTAAATACATTTCCCTGTTCCTGGTGTTCAGAACTGGACTCCACACTCACTGGTCTCTTTATAATCTTGCTTCTGGCCCTTTGAGGGCTCAAAGCTACCAGCACCTTGCTGCCAGGGGACAATCATTGCTCACGGCTGAGTCCTGCAGACACAGAGCCTGGGCTGGCTGCCTCCTCCTGCTGGCCCAGCATCTTGCTTGCACTAAAGAGAACTGGAGGATTGGCACTGATACTTGCTGAAAACCTACCCAGGCCACCCACTACTGCTGCACTCCAGGGCACCAGCCCACACTTCTCCCCTCCTGCCATCAGGCACATGTTCACAGCATTGAATCTTACAGGAAAGCAGTGGAACCCTGTCTCTCCTTCACAGGAGGCACGTGCCTTCCTAGCCAAAAATGATGATACCCACGGGCACAGCATCTCACATAGGGACACATAGAGATGTCTGACTCATTAAAACCCAAGTCTCTGGCCAGTTAAAAGGGGTCCTTAAAGTCTTACTTGATAGTGGTGGAAGGAAATTTGCTCTATATTGATGAAATGAGGTGGAGAATATCTGATTTTCCAAACATGAGAATTCTCTATATGCCACCCCATAACAAAAGACCCCCTATTTGTGGTAGACAAAACATTCAAAAAGCCTATTAGGATAGTGGATGAGACCCCCAAGGGACATGCTTATATAACAATAACTGGCTCCAAACCATACTCCATGGCAGTGGCTCTCAAACGCCAGCACACATCGAAAGCCCTGTGCTGAAACACAGAGTTCGGGGCCCCATCCCTGAGTTTCTGGTTCAGGAGGTCTGGAGTGGGACCTCCGAATATGCATTTCTAACAGATTCCCAGGGGATGCAGATACTGCTAACCCGGGCCCTCCTTCTGAGCACCACTGTTCCAGGGAGAACGAACTCAGTTAAGTAAGGGTTTGGCTTTGTCCTGAGGACAATGTGGAATTTAGAGTTGAGGTGAATTATTCAGGAAAGTAGAGAGGTTTGGGAATGTGAAGGTGGGAAGTGCAGTGCAAGGAGGCAGAGAGGAAATACGAAGCAGCCGTCAGTTGGAGAGAAATTAGGAAGAGGAATAAAATGATATATGTCAGGGATTTCAGTTTTGCTGAGCCCATGATCACAGCCTCTTCTCTGGCCCCTTGTGTCACTCACCGAGGCCTTGTAGCTGGGTCTACTCTTTCAGAGTCGTAATAGGGCTGTGGGTCTGACCTCAAGGTGAGCTGGAGTGGGCACAGATAATAGATAACACTGCAAGAAGTCTCTCAAGGGTCCTTCCCAGAACAAAGGATCTCTCCATTCCAAAGGCGAATGCCGGTCACTATCGTAAAAGAAAAGAAAGAAAGAAATTGATGGTGACATTTTAAATGGCAATTTTTCTAGCTTCTAAAAGAATGTGGAGCAACTGGAACTTTCATACCCTGCTGGTGGGAATGTAAGATGGTATAATCACTTTGGAAAAATTGGCAGTGTCACCAAAAGCAAAGCCTACACCTACTATCCATTCCACTCCTCAGTATTTACCCAAGAGAAATGAGCCTGTATGTCCATACAAAGATTTGGACCCAAATGTGCATGACAGCTTTATTTATATAGCCTCAAACTAGAAAAAGTGTGTCTATCAACAGGTGAACGGATAAGCAAACAGTGGCCTGTGTGCCTAATGTAATACTGCTCATCCACAAAAAGAAATGAGTTATTGATACACACAGGAGCATGCACGAAATCTAAAAATGCTGAACGAAGGAGGCCGGATTTTTATTTTTATTTTATTTTATTTATTTATCTATTTATTTATTTATTTATTTTTGAGAGAGAGTCTCGTTGTGTCACTCAGCCTGGAATGCAACGGCGTGATCTTGGCTGACTGCAACCTCTGCCTCCTGAGTTCAAGCAATTCTCATGCGTCAGCCTCGCAAGTAGCTGTGACTACAGTCATGCACAAAGGCAAGTGGCTAATTTTTGTAATTTTAGTAGAGACGGGGCTTTGCCGTGTTGACCAGGCTGCTCTCAAACTCCTGACCTCAGGCGATCTGCCTGCCTCGGCCTCCCAAAGTGCTGGGATCATGAGTCACTGTGCCCAGCCGGAAGCCAGATATTTTTAAAGAGTACTTATTTTATGATTCTATTTATATAAAATTCTAGAAAATGCAAACAAATCCATATCGACAGCAAATCAGTGGTTGCTGGAGATGTTGGAGGGGAGAGGAGAGGAATAGATTGCAAAGGGGAACAAGGAAATTTGGGTGGACAGTGGATATGTCTATTTTTACTGTGGTGATGGTTTCATTGGTTTATACGTATGTCAAAAACGTAACAAGTTGTATACCTTAAATGTGATTTGTTGTGTGTTGACTATACCTCAAAAAGGCTATTTTTTAAAAAGCCTCTCAGCCTCCAGGCACTCCGTTACGTTGGTGTTACTTGTCTTGGAAATATACTCTGAGCATTTGCTGGAGGAGTTTGAGTGCCTGGGCCTTTGTCGCTTCTCCCAAGTAGAATTGGCAGCTAAAATACGGGATGCCCATGGGCACAACCTCTCACCCCCATCACTGACCAGGGAGCAGGGGGTGCCCCCACAGGGAGCACAGTCTCATCGGAAATTACCTTCCATGGCAAATAAAATCACCAGGGCAAGTCAAGGGAGAGACCAAGGAAGAGAGTACTCCATCCTATACTAAAAAAGGATGAGAAAGGTTGAAGAAAAGGGGGAGAAAAGACAGAAATTCTCTTCACACATTTGCAGAAGTAGTCTGGACTCTCCAGCCACTTCTCCTCCAATGCGCAGGACAGGAATCTCGGAGGAAATGGCATCATCTTCCCTTGTTTACAGACACAGCAATGAACTCAAAGAACAATCTTATCAGGATTTTCCAAATGAAAACATGAAATGTATAGAGAATAAAGATCTGCAAACTCTTATGGTGGCTGAGACTGAAATGGCTAATGAAAAGCAAAAGTGTGTGCTAAATGACCCAGCCACAATGGCCCGAACACTTAAGTAGTGTAGTATATTTGGAACATTGACAGCTAACAAGGCTTTCCTCCCATGTCAGACCAAGAACACAGTTTTCTAAAGATAAAAATAGCACAAGCTTTTCCACTTTTCCATAAACGACTGCAATAGAAAACTAACAAACGATGAAAAGCAAAATATGGCTAGTCTATTCAAGAAAAGCTGATGGTGTTTCTATTTTGCCTGTAAATTACTTTCCAGTACAAAAAACAATTCCTGTTACATTGATTACATTGATAACAATTCCTGTTAATTCTAACTAGAGACATACGAGAGAAAGATTGAAATCTCATGAGCTGTCTCCTTTTCATCTCAATTCTGTGTACTTCTGGGTGCAAATGGAAATAGTGTTTGTTTGTTTGTTTGTTTGTTTTTTGAGACGGAGTCTTGCGCTGTTGCCCAGGCTGGAGTGCAATGGCGCGATCTCAGCTCACTGCACCCTCTGCCTCCTGGGTTCAAACAATTCTCCTGCCTCAGCCTCCCGAGTAGCTGAGATTATAGGTGCCTGCCACCATGCCTAATTTTTTTTTCTTTTTCTTTTTTTTTTTTTAAAGTAGATATGGGGTTTCACCATGTTGGTCAGGCTGGTCTCAAACTCCTGACCTCAGGTGATATGCCCACCTTGGCCTCCCAAAGTGCTGGGATTACAGGCGTAAGCCACTGCACCTGGCCCAGAACTAGTTTTAAAACAGGAGACAGTTGATATACTGAATGGAAAAACAATACAATTTGAAGTTGAAAAAGCAAAATAGGATGCCCAGTTAAATTTAAATTTCAGTTAAGCAACTAATAATTATTTAGTATAACTACATCCCATATACGACAATTGCAGTATTTGTTATTTATCTGAAATTCAAACTTACCTGGGCATCCTAGTATCCTGTTTTTTGTTTTGTTTTGTTTTGTTTTTCCTTTTGTTTTCTTTTTTTTCCTGAAATCTGACAATCTTAATTTTGACGTATTTATTCAGTTTTAAAAACTAGATCTTTTTTTGGCAGTCAGAACTAGAGCGAAGATAAATGACTCCAGGACTCCGTTTAGCAGGCAGTTAGGAAGCGTGATGGTGTGGTGGGTGGCAGCCCCGGCCAGGCCTTTCCTCTTCCCTAAACTGCCACAGCAGGACTGCCACACTCGGGAATCCCAGTTTTCATATGAGCAGCCCCTCCAGAGTTTGGAAGGAGTCAGTGCTTTAGCCCAAGGAGCTGCGGATGGCTCTAACACTTTGTTTGTTGGTTGAATAAAAATCAACACAAAGGTGGCCTACACTCATTGAAGTAGGAATGCCAGAACTTGTGTGGTGTCACATAGAAGAAAATATCCAAGTGCTTAGGGAGATGGCAGCACTAGTGGATCTACTGGATCATTAAGACTCACTCACCTATCCATCGCAGGTCTAGAGGACACACCCTTACCACACTGGGAAGTGTAAATGAGCTCCAGC